ACCAGCCGAGGTGACATTATCAGTGTTTGTGAAGTGGCCAAGCATCGACGATGTCACTTCGGCATGTGATGAAATGTTTGCAAACTGCGAAGCTCGGCGAACAGGTGAAATTGAATTCAGTTCAACCGAGTTACAGGAACCGTTTTTCAACAGAAAGTCAACAAAACAAGAGGATTTACGGGGTTCAGGTTAAACTATAATAGGTTTGGGAATGGGAAATCTCTTTGAAGTCTTCATTAGGGTGTGGAATACCCCAGATAGAGAATAAGCGGTGTAAGAGGGCGATTAGTTCTGTTACTCACATTTTGAGGACGATGGGAAGAATCCTGTTAGGTTTTGATGTATCTGATGAAAATGACTGGTGCCAAAAGATGGTTTGCTGTAGGGCATGAGGAGGGCTAGATGGATAATTCGGATAGGGTAGAGCTAGAAAATTCGGGGACATCATTTGGCTTATTCGAGTGGGTCAAATACTAGGTTACCAAATAGTTTAACTATAGATCTGAGGCTGGTGGTAGAAAATTTACGGGATATTGCTTAGCAATTGACCGGAAACGCCGGCTTTCAGAAAGAGCAGATCGTAACCATGCTGCTTTGCATTCAGCAAACTGCTCCTTAGCCTTCTGTGTGATGGCTATGTAGTTGCTTTGTGCTTGCAATGAGTGGGAAGTGAACGCCAGTGACAGAAACTCACTCCGGTTTACGAACAACGCAACACTACGCGTAGTTAAACCGTTCTGGAAAAAGAGATTTACCGGGTTTAGCGAAACGAGGAAAAAATAGACGCGTCCCTAGTAAAGAAACTTTGGAAAACTCCGAAGTCGTGATGGAGACATCGGTGGGGAATTGCAGTCATGTCAAAGATAAGAAGACAAACAATTACTTTTTCAGTTTCAGTTTGAACAACCATTAACCCTGCACTTTCGAGCGCCGGTTTTGGTTGCTGTCTTTTGGCTGCCCATTTCGATGAAGAATAGGAGAAGAAAGGAAAGTTGAGAGTGGAGTCGAAAAGAAAATGGAGAATTTCAGTGGTCTAAGGTTGGAAAGAAATTGAGGAGATGNCCCAGCCATATCGCTGAGTGTTTCTAACCATCGGTGACCATCATCCCGAGGTCCCTAGCCAGGGAGCCTAACAGGGCCTATGTGACCCAGTTTCCTGGTTAGGGTTTTCATACCCTCGTGCCAGGTCTTGACTTGACAACCCTTGGCTTTATTCCACTCGGTATCTGCTTCGGCGAACATCGCTCGCCGTGGTAACCTACATGTCCCAGCCAACGTAATCTATGGAGGTCGACCACTTGCTCCAGTGGACGACCGTATTTACCCAGAACTCTGTCCCTAACCTCAGCATTGCTCACCCGGCTACTCCACCAGATTCGTGCAATGCTGCGTAGACAGCGGAGTTCGAACACCGACAGTCTGTCTTTATTTTGTTTTCTTAATGGCCAGGTTTACGCACCGAATAGCAGGACTGGCCGAACTGTCGCGGCAAAAAGATTACTAAAACTACACCAATCAACGGAATGGTGTCGCCAGAGTGCGTGTCCGGATTAGAACGGCCAAGTTGGGTAGAAGACAAGACTAGAGAGTGTTCCGATGATCCCTGGGGAGGAACCATGGCAATTTTGGAAAATAACTGCTGGTTGAATGTGAGGACAAGATCGAGAGTATGAGTGTGGTCATTAGAACTGTTGGAAAATCAATCAGTTCGTGCAGTTGGTTCAATAGTGTAAATGATTCTGCTTCATGTTAAAGAGGCAGTGCGATTGCAGCGTAAGAGCTATTCCGTTTTTTTTAATTTAAATGCACCCAAAATTGTGAACTGAGCTCCGTGTTATTTTTAATCATTTTCCCAATGTTTGCCGATGAATTGACTCCTATTTGGGGAACCGCATACAATACAGAAGTATTGCTTGAACGAAGGAAATCGAAGTTTCAGCCGCATAGTGTGGAACTTGCAGTTTAAAAGAATTAGGTGGGAGAAGAAGATAACGTCAGTGCAATCGTGTATAAATGCACAAACATCAGCTTTGGGAATGAATGAAGAATGCAGAGAATAATGAGGAAACTGAAGGTGGGTGGAGCCTGTAGTCAATGAAAATTGGGATTCAGGTGAAAATACAGGGGAAGAGGAAGTAACCTGATGTACAGAATCAATAATTTGGTTCAAGTTGTGAATTCTAGTGAGTGTGATTGTAGAGTGACAGCGTGCACGAGCCCTATCCTATCACCTCAAGCATCACAAACGCAAGAGCATCCCACAGACACCAAGTGGCATAAATGAAACACAAAGGACTCTATCAGTATCTATTAGAAGCCATCAACTAAGTGAACTCAACAAAAGTAATGAACAGAGAAAGAGAGAGAGTTTGCTTCACGCGTAAGTAATTACTTACGCGTATTCTATTTCCTTGAACTATATGATTTTGTAACCTATAAAAGAGTGTTGTATTTGGCTAGTAAATGAGGCACCGAAAACGAGCTTGCTTGCCAAATTGACTTCTCGATGCAATCCACGGGTATTTTCCAGTAAATAAGTGTTTATTGAACCGTTGATTGAAGGTCATTCCGTGCAATGACGTTAGGAAATAACAGGGTTTCTCACCTTAGACGACATATTTCGTGACCTTCCAAGGACTTATGATATAAGTTATGACTTCCTCTCTTTAAAACAACGATAAGTAGCTGATTTCATTAACAACACTACCATCCATCAAATGAAAAATCCAGTCCTAATTGTCCTGATTTATTGTTTCTTTTCTCCGTGTACCGTCCGTGGAAGAAAACGGACTGAATTCGGAAGAGCGCGCCTGATAAATGACTACTTGTCAGTAGTCAGTTATTATGAGGTTCATCGTTGTTACGCACAAAGTGGCTTTACACATTGAGATTACCTGTTTCGTATACCGTGGAAAAGTGAAGATAATTTAATTTAAGCAAAATCATCCATGGGCCAATCGACATCGATTTGTTTCCTCAGATTTACATGCACAGTCTCTCTTCCACCACACTGACTTTTGCTGTCAAGGGCGCTAACGATTTTGCATTCGGTTGCTTCCCAGAATTATCCACGCTTGATTCGTTGCAGAACTGTCCAAGTCCCTTCGTGTATCCGCAAATCTTGAAGACCATGTTTAGTTTTTGTTGATAGTTGACCGCAGATTTTTGTTTATTTATCAGACATTTTCCAGATTCGTAGTAAACGGCCGCGTTGTAGAACGACCTTCACATTTCCAGTGTCGCGGTGTTCATCTTTCACCTGATCTTATATGGCCTGATCACGTCCAGAAACTCCCACCAAAGTTCGCAGACTAAGGTTTTTGTCTCCCGTTTCAGGTACATGAAGGCATTCACTGACTTTATTTTCATATTCGATCAATCCTGTTTGATCTGCCTCAAGGCCTCCCGTTCTCCTGCTATCCTTCTTACTTTTACTGAGGATTCTGTACTAGTCAACGATCACTAAGGAGCATTTCGAAATATAGTTTCATTCCTTGCAAATATGATTTTTGTCACGGGATAATCACTTTTTCACCTATAAATGACTGATTGATACTATGCTCTCGGATATATCCCACTCTGTTCATCATGTATCTCACGTATCTCAATGTCCATCAAGCCCAAATTCATTTACGCACGAACGCTAACATATCGCAAATCCATTGTTTTTTCTTGCTAGAGTCCCAACAACCGCTTTTAATGAACTAAAAGATAAATTACAGTGGTATATTATGGAATGCATAACTATTTCTCCCGCTGGGCAGTGATCTAATGCTGAGGCGTTAGAACTTGTTGAAAATTTGACCCATTGTGGATAAATAAAGCACCTCATGAACTTGATTCCATTGCACATAACAACTCGACCTTAGTTGAATCCTTGGTGAAGTGTATGGGCGTGCAACATTGTTTTTATTCATATCATCCCGTGGAACAGAAACTGATCCACACTGTCCAGTGTTGCGTTGGCCACTTTCTCACAGAGACAGTTTCATGGGTCCAGCGACGGCATTGAAACGCGGTGGTCAACTTCCGAGGATGATGAAAAACACGTAACTGGTTTTCGAAGTTGCTTACCGAACTCTACTTCTTCAAAATCAACAACAGACAAGCTAATTCCGATGAGTTTCACGGACGCTTTTTGTTTGAATGAGACAACAAAGCCGCCGAATGCAAGACAGTAGTTTTTAACAATTTATTATTAATATTATTATTCAACAAGTAACCAATTACAGAAAACTGGCAAATGTGCCACAACATATGAACAAAAAAAAATTTGAAGAATGATTTCATGGGTTGTGTGGGCATGTTACCTCCCGGTTACCCTGGCCGAGGAAGGGGATAGCCTCCGGGTCCCAACACGAAGCCTTTGGCTAGAAAGCGAGACCTGCAAGACAACAGGACGGAGCTCAGAGTACGAAGTTCAGTGGAGACCGGTGTCCAGTTCATCTGATCATACACCCTTCGGACGGGGTCAAACGTTCAAGAGGCCCAATACACCTCGATGCTTAATTGAGCTTTCTTCAGATCCGTGAGCGATGTATTTTGAAGAATTTTACCAAAGTCGAGGAGAGGTTATAATGAAGCAAACAAGAGGTCCGAATAGGATAGATTTTGCACATAAAACGGTACAATCAACAAAAGGAAATTGTTTTTATTTTTGCATTTTTCTTCAAGGTGCACAAATATCAAAGATAGTGAAGTATTTGCGAATAGCACGTGAGCGCATTCACTGCACACTTAGGTGATGTCAACTTACGTCCCCTGGGACAAATCAACTTGAATCGCATCGTTCCATATCAGGAGCTTGAGTTAGACTGAACGCAAACGGTGCACCTGCCCAACAGAGTCGATATCAACAACAGCACAGACAGAAAAAAGAAAAACAGATTTGTATTTATTCGCATAAACAATGATAAGTTTGAACACTGATCTTGACACAGGGAATGGCATCAGGAACTGAGAGATTTCTCGACCCGAAAAGCACATGAAGGGAGATTTGGCTACTTCAGCGAACGACGTCTGGAACTTCCCGAGGGGCTTTCACGACATTCGACCACATAACGCTGTGGAATACGGATCGCTGGAGCATAACCTTCAGGATAGGAGGAATCTTCGAAATAAAGTGAATACTCATCGTGTATCTGTAGGAGAAAATATAAGAACAATGCAGAGTCAATCGGACAGGTAAGCTGGATTAAACGCGAGTTCGTCTGATCTATTGCTCGTATGTGATATAAATGAAGTGACAAAATGTAATGGGGAGAAATTACTCACATGGACTGGGACTTCATCCACAATAGCTTTGTAGAAACATGTGGTTTGTGGGTATAGGGCGAATACGGCCTGAAAAGGGAGGATTCGATTAAATGCGTTAACGGCACCAATTCAATTTTTACAACTGCAAACTTAGTTACGGGACACAGAAAACGAGTTATGCGGATTCCACTAAGAAACTCGGTACCCTGGATCAGATGACCGGTTTATAAATCGTTTACTTTTTACAAATGTTACACAAATGTTGCTTCTATCCCTGTTTACTAATTAATCGTGAAACGAATAAAAAGCAAACGAGAAATTCAGCAACTAATCAACGATTGCATACATTTTACCATAGAGCATACACTTTTCTTATGGGTGCGCGAAAGCACACTACGGCGATGCTGATAAATGATAAACTGAAACAAGAAAGACCATACCTCTTAACACTTCAAAACAAAGACTGTGCTGTTTGATGCACGTCAGATCAAGTCACGTCAAGTGACAGAAGGATATCTGAAAATGCCTTTTGTTAGAAAAAAATCCGGCGAAGAGGTATTACATCTGTCCAAGAGGAAACGCAGATTCCGGTCGAAATGGCTCGACAGTGTGCAGTACGCATTTTTTATGGTAAATCCCAATTAGATTTATATCCTTTCCAAGGAATAAATCAGACGAATGTACAGGAGGTACAAACAAGGATCAATGTAACCTAGGTGGTGTTCGGCGTAGCTGGTTTGTATTCCTGCAAGATACGGTTGATACGATTCTGAAGCTAGACAAGTCGCCAAGTCGTAACGTGCTAATCATCGGAGATGCCAATCAGTGTTTCATGTGCAAAATTGACTTTCAACATCCTCAGTAGTCACCGTGCCATGTTGTTCAGTGAGTGACTGACACGTTTATACTACAGCAAAAAATACATAGAAAGAGGCAGCATTACTGAAGGTGAATGTAAGAATCTGGAGCATTTATTGTCAGCTTGAGGGAAGTACTGATTAAACCAAGTAAGCATTATCTTTCTCAGGTGGGGAAATAAAATGGACCCCAGGGAAAGGAATTCAGAGATGACATATATGTAGTTGCATGATGCATAATGTCACAACAGTCAAAACCAAACTATCACTTAGAGAATCCTAGTCAACGAGGATAAAAACGAGATAATAACTTCAAATGATAATTTCCTTGTGATTCGCATTATGAAAGCCAAACATGCAAAGGTTGTACTACTTGGACAAGGAGATTTTAAAATACACAGCACAACTTTGTTGAGACATTCTCGTATATAGTTTTACATTTATCCCCGGGAGAGCAACTGACCAGTACTTCTCCAATCACTTACGGTTCCTTTTGGAAAAATAGCCTCCGGTTGTGTGACTGGATTCGCCTTCCACTTTGGCAGGGGAATCACTTTGGATCGGGCTAATGTGTACCGTCTTCAATGAGAATTTGCAAAAACAAAAAAGAATACAGGGAAACAAACTTTGAGGAAACAATCAATGACAAGTGAATGAATACGAACCGAGAACAAGGAAAATGGTATGAATCAAATGGATGCAAAAAATATGATGTGAGATACGAACGAGATTGCGAACATCCGGAGAGAGAGGGGGGAGGGAGAGGTAAACACACTGCGGCGTCTAGCAGTGACAACACCGTTGTGAGCGACGAATTACCAATGGCACATGGTNTGTGTGGAAGATGGAATGACGGGGAGGGGGCACCATGCGAATGAACCAGCCACACACACACTGCACTCATGCAAATGAGAACTTTAAACACCCAAAAATAATAGTCGCAGTCTGAAACAGCAACAGTAGCACTAGTAATGAGAGTGGGAGTGTTGATTTGGGCAAACAACAGTTCAATATAATATGTGGCTCCGGGGGTTATGATCTCGTCCCGATTGAACAAGGTGATAATGATGACGATGATGACGAAACACAACCGAAGGGAAATGATAACCGGAACAGAAAATTGGTGGTGGTTACCAACGAGACGAGATTGAATGAAACCTGGAACCTAAAACTCACTTTGGTCTGAAACAAGGTGTGACAGGGACGATGATGAGATAAAAATGTGAAGCGACTGAACTAAAAGATGGTGAAACGTGTGTGTAAATCGAGGCAAACTTTTTGCATCCCATCGTTCCTATAGCTCAAACGAGAAACGTTACCCTACCATATAGTCACATTCGACATTTTAGTGGCGCAAATTATGAACCAAAGATCTTAACTTCATCCAGTCTAGAACATAACGTTTGTGACCTCAGAAACATACAGATTCGCTCAAGAGATACACGGATAACTTGATCGATCTCACCTATAAGAATCTGTCCCCTGCAGACCTTACTTGATTTTGCATTTGTTTAGGATGAATTCTTAAACGAAATCCGAGAGTTGAAAACGTTACGACAAACATAATCTCCGTTTATCAAATGGAAATTCATTTCAATAGATTATTTAAGCACCGCATGGCATCAGCACAAAGTGGCGCACTTTTCGTTGTTCTGTTGATCTAAATACCAAATCAACAAACTAGGAGGCTTAACACTAGAAAACCGTGCGTATATCCAGTTGGGATGTTCTGACTCTATTAGATGCAGAAAGTTTGTTCAGTATGACATATTCCTTGTGCCTACACTGTGATTGTCTGTTCGAACGCCGGCGATAGATGAATTGAAACCGCAACAGCCAACTTAGTCTATTGAATATAACGTAATGGCCAAACACACAAATCCGGCTCGTACAAATAAACAATATTCTTGACTACATGAGTCGATAACGTCG